TTTTTTTTCAGATTTCTAATTCATGTACTAGGTTTCAAAATAATAGCCCATGAAAATAGAACTAATGAACATTTTAGTGGGCTCACTTTATTATTCTAATTAAATTATGTTGAGAATGAGGAAGTACATGTATAATAAGTTCTGCATGTGAATATGTACTCAATTATGTCATTTTGGTATAACCAATGAATCCAGTTATGAAGAAAACTTTCAAATTTTAAAGGACTTTCCTTCGTGTTATTTGCCTTATTAGATTTGACATGATTTTGGAGCTTAGTTCCCTCGAGTTTAATTTTTATAATGAATTAATGAAATTGATCATAGTACATTTCTCATAGATTTTGACAGATGCTGCTTTACTGAAAAGACAAAAGTTAGAGATAGAAGAGCTGCGTAATAAGCTTCAGGTGAGATTCCTGTTATCTATGTTATTGTGTTACCTGAAAACAAAATAACATGTGTACCCTTTGTTTAGGGGTCTCATGCTGAAGTACTGGAGCAAGAGATTTTAAAACTTAGGAACGAGATGCTTAAGGTGCATATCCATTATGCTTTTAATTTGCAACATCAGATTCTGTTATCTTTTAGCAGTAAACATTAATTGACATGCATTTACTTATCTGCTTATTAAAAAAATTTCAGTATGAACTAGAGCGTGAGAAGCTTGAAATGCAACTGGAAGAGGAAAGACGGTCACACAAAGAACGTGATCAATGCATCAGAGAGCAGCAGATGAAAATTGAAAATCTGAGTAGTCTTGTTACTTTTTCAGATTGTGATAGGAACTCTAGTCAGGTACGGCTTACTCAAAGCAACATATCCAAAGTTCTGTTACTTTACTGCTATATTTCACTCTTATCCGATAGTTTCTCCACTGCTCAAACATAATAATACCTACTTGCTTTTCGCTAGTAGTAAACCCATGTACTATACCATTTGTATGATGACAAGTGTGTTTAGCTACTCTCATAGAAATTATAGTTTGATTCATATTGCTCTCTTTATAATGCAATTATTACTGTTTTTGAGCTAATTTATGTGCTGAGGAGTTTTTCTGCATTTCAATTGGGTTGAAGAGATTATGAAATTAAGTATTCGATGGTAGGAACATGATTCAAGGAGGGAAAGCCCTAAGGAAGAAGGCATTGACAGCACTATTAAATGCCAAGGAGACATTTTCGAAACTCCTTGCTTTAAGGGAGCTCCCAATAACTTTGTTGTCAAGCGTTCAAATTACTCAAACCCACCTGATTTTAGCCCACTTCCAGATTCTTTTAGTGATGTGGCTGACGAGGACACTTGGTTCAAAATGAACAAAGGTTATGTACCAGACCTAGATTCACTTCAGATGACTCCTGCAAGAAAAGTTCAGTCCTTTCCACCAAGCGATGTAACACTAACTCCCGTGAGTTGATGATTTGAAGTTGATTTTGGTTAAACTTCTTCTCAACTTACTATTCGTTGATAGATGATAATAATATAAGAGCTTCCACTGTGGATGGAATGATTTCCACTTTTCAGGTTCCTTCAAATGAGGATTATAAACAAGAGCTTGAAAATCTCAAGAGACAATTAGAAGTCTTAACTGAAGAGAAAAATGAACTCCAGGTCAGTACATTGTATACCCACCACTTCTTGTTAAAACATGTGAATCCGTGAATGCTTATTTGGTCCTCCAACTAAACTACTAAGCAAGCTGTGACTGCTTGAAGCAAGTTTTATCGAATTTCTTCCATTCCCAGTTTTTGACTGCTACTTTTTTAATTTAATATAATGAGGACATGCATATTATATTTGCATGTGCTAGGGGTTCAATATTGCTGCATATACATTTCTAACTTTATGTCAATGCATATGTTTACAGAGAAAGCACACAGAGCAAATACTATTGAATGACCAATTAATGGGAGAAGTATCTGAACTAAAACATGAAGCCAAGATTATTCAAGAAATCCCTGAACGATTGCACGAGTCTGTGGCTAGTTGCAAAGATATTTATGAGGATGTTATGTCAACAATGCAGGTGAAAGTGCATTTTAGTTGCCTCTTTCAACTTTTATTTTTGACATTGAATCAAAAAAACATATACTGTCTGTTCTTTTGTCTATAAGCAGAGCTTTGCATCAAATGGTGAATCTTCAACTGCAAAATTGCTCTCTGGCACGAGTGAAATTGGTAGAACCCTTTTCTCAACTTTGGAAACTCACTTTGCAATGGTTATGAATCACAAGCCCGTCCATGCAAATGATTCTGTATCCCAAGAGCAATACAAAGAGCTTTCTGAGAGTCTGAAAAGCACAGTGACATCCTTAGTTCTATCAGAAAAACCAATGGAGAATAAACAAGTGAAGAATCCACAATGTAGTTGCAACTCTAAGGTAGCTGCCTGGTCACAGTTATCAAGATCGTTTATGATTCTATTTGCTGTCATAATTATAGGATATATTGTTTCTTCTTCAAGATTCTGATTCTTAAACCCTTTGCTATATATTCTTTCCAAAATAATACCCTGTTCAAGTGATATACAGATATGTTAATTAGCATGACAATAACAAAAAGTAAATCCCAATTCCCTTCTGATTTGTGTTCATTTCGAAATCCAAATTAACTTGTTTAAGATTTTTATTTTATTTTATTTTACTTTTTTTGTGTGGAAGGAATACACTTGGGATGGAGAAACTGCTGGCTGGATGGAGAAATCTAGCAATGGACTTAATAGTATCAAGGAAAAATACCATGACTTGGAGAAGGGCTTAGATAAGAATAACAAGTTGCTAGAGGTTTCTAAGGAAAGGTATGGTAGCTTGGAAAGAGAGTTTAAGCTACTCAAAGAAGAACGAGACTCTTTGCTCAGAACAGTCTCTGAATCATCTCAACAGCTTGCACTACTTACTGACCAAAAGGAAAATGTCCTGAAGGACTTGAGCACTGAAGTGCAGAGAAGAAAACGCCTTGAAGAGGAAATCAAACAATTTAGTGTAGCTTTTGCTTCTCGGCAGAGAATACTTGTGTCTATCGAGAATGAGTTTCAATCTACAATTGAGAAAATGAGAGCTCAAAATCCAGTTTCACTCCCCAAATCTCTTGGGTCTTAAAACCACAAATAATTAGGGCATTCAATTATCTTTGTTGTCTGTTTCTGTACTAAACTAACTGTTGTGTATTTAAGTAGTTCTCTGTCTATCTACTGGTGTATATGTATGGATACTTAACAATTGAATATTGAAATGATATTCTTATTGAAGTTTCCATTGACTATCAGAACATGGCATTTTCACTTCTAATATGTTATCAGCTAGAATTATTTAGTTATTGCTCCAGAGAATGGTGCTTGTGGTTAGGTTGAAGTAATCCAACTATCTTCCTTCAACTTTCTGCTTCTATAGGATATGGTAGCTTGGTGTTATGAAATGGTTTCATCATTCCGAAGGTCATCCTCGATTCATATTGTCTGATCATCTGGTTATGATTGCTATCAAGAGTCTCTCCGCTTCCAATCTATGAACTTCATTTTCTTTGCTTGTTTGATCGCTTTGCTATCTCTTTTATCTTGTTTGGGGTGGTAAATGTAATTTGCCTTGAGAAAATTCTTTTTGATCTCAGCCAAGGAGTAGGTAACAATCTTTTCCAACAGAAATCAGCCTTAAATCATTCCAGTTCAAGCAAGTAATGAATCACATTTTCGCGTCAAAGACAATATTAATAGCTCCTTAGCTTCTCCTTGACGGTCACTATAAGCAGAAAGGAGAGACAATACAAAATGATGGAGGAGCAATCAGAAGGCAAAGATGCTTAACCCTCAACATGTGAACACTTAGCTTCTTGAAGGCATTGATTAGATCACGATAAAGGAGATGAGCCCCATATTCTATCCCAGTCCCATCAATATATGGAAAGTTGAGAGCACAACTCGTGGGTGATGTTAGATTGCTGTTAAGGGAGAGTTAAGAAAGGCAGACATGCTTGCTATCCAATTTTTGACCTTTCTTGCAATGCAAGCAAGTAATCAAAGATAATTGTCTTGATATTGTAAATGATTAAAAATGAACAATCATAATAGTCCTCTTTTTTTACTTAAAAAAAATTTACATACTCCATTATAATTGATATAAGAGAAAAACTCATATACATTTACTATCAATAAAATTAAAATAACTTTAATTATTAAAATATATTAATCTGTTAAGATAATACATTCTTTTTTTTATATCACAATTATATTAAAGCTAACATCAAATGCTCTTATCTCTCGTATCATTTCATTCTAACCTTTTCAATCCTTTGCAAATGTTTAAGTACATCCAACATCCTATATGCCAAAAAGAAAAGAAAGTTGTCATAAAAGATCTAAGCACATCTAACATTTTTCCTTCACTTGGTAAGCATGTTTTAATCAAACATTTTTTTCCTTGTGCTACTAATTTGTCAGTTTCTTTCTTCCCTATTTTAGCCAAAAATAACATTTTTTCCAAAAATAACATTTTTTGTTCTCAGGAGTTTCAAAATTTAAAGAATCCCACAATAGTAAACGAATAAGACAAAAAGTGATATACGGCACAAGCAACATGATGTTGTAAGGAATCATTCCCATCGTAAGACCTGTATATGAAGTTACTTGACATAAAATCTGAAGCGCAAAATGTTAAAGAAAAACAATCAAGAATAATGTACGAACAATGCATTCTCAGTAAAAATCTTTTGCCATCTCTCAAACCCCTCATCTATCTGTACTGCCTTTACCGAAATTTTGAAACTACAGCTTCTGCTTTGATCTCATCATCTCAGGGTTGTTTGCCTTTCCAGTTATTGCGCCGATAAACAGAAGAAGCCATGCATGCTGATATCAGAGCAAAAACAGAAAGAAACTACACCCAGAAAAGCACAAAAGAAGAGGGAAAAAAATGAAGGCAGCTTTAACACTTTTCATTTCCTCATTTTCTTATACTGTTTTGCTTGTTGATATCATCGACTGGCTGCATCATGGTCATGAGTACTGGGAAAGGGAGAGAAAATTCAGGATCGTACACATTTATAAAGGATATTCATGCATACGATGCATGCATTAGCTGAAATTTAATTGGCCACTCTGTTTGCCCATGACTCCATGAGCAGTGTTGATCGGTTATGGGTTCCATTCCGTGTAAGACAAAATCCTTTTGGGACCATGATTTTTCCTTCCTGTTTTCATTAAAAAAGGTTTTTTTTTGGGACCACAACAAACATAATGGAAGGCAAATTAAACTAAATGGGTGAGAGGACTGAAGATTGAATGGACAAGCAAATGACATATAGAAGATGCTGGAAAATTAAAACAAAATGCAGACAGAATCTTTGAAACACTTGGGCCTATCTCCAATAGTTATTAACACTGCAATAGATAGAGATTGTTTGAGACTCTCTCTCTTCTGTTTCTTTTAATGCTTTTTTTTTTTTCCTTTTGCATGTAAAGTCTAGGAATTAGAATTAGAGTTCTAAACTTATAGCTAAGAGCACAAGTAATTCTAGCCCTAGATCACATAACTAATGGTTCTTTCAATGCCTCTATAAATTAATACCCAATCTTGTTTGTCTTTGCACTCTAGTTCAGTCCAGACTGACAGATATGCTCTATTTCTCTCATTTATTGCCCCTGCAACAGCACCACCTCCTTATCATGTCATATCCCTTTTCTCTTTGATTTTTAGCTACTTAAGCCCGCATCATATACATACAAGGAAATATATTCTCATCCATTTCAGCGAGCCCTCTAGCTCACCGGCCCTGTCCCAATGGCTACCACGAGAGCATCCCAGCGAGTAAAACTTGGACAGTTTCTCCTGGAGCAGCAAGAGCCTTTCATCTTAGAGGTTTACCTTTCAGAAAGAGGGCTTGTAAAAAAAGGCTACAAGTCAGAAGCTAACTCTGGTTGCTGCTGCAGCAACTCAAGCAGGAATAGAAAGAGAATTCCACACGGTTCCAAGGTTCTCAGAGCTGTATACAACAAGCTCATATCAAGAAACAAGAATTCTGAAAATAAAGATGGAAAGCCAAAGCATAGGAATATCCAGGAGCAGGAAGGTGCAGAACCAGATAGATTTTCCTCAACAAGCAGCATTACAGTGTATAATTCATGCCCTGACACTGATATAGAAGAACCATCGACGACTGTAAACAATTCCCAGTTCGATGATCAAAGAGAAAAAGAGGTAGAAATCTTTGTATCTTAATAATCTCTTATTTCTGACTCTTTGAAAAAACATAGCTTCAATATGTTGCTTACAAAGCTAACAGGCGGATACAGAAGGGAAGTTCCAATGGAACGGAATGGAGGACAGCAAACAACAACGCCCTGTGTCGGTATTAGAAAAATTACCTTGTTCGAGAACTTTCCCACTTCATCAGGGTTAAGTGTTATTTTCCAGTTTCAGTTTCGTGTTCTTCAATCTAGCTTAGAAGATTGAAATATTAATTCCAACCTTATTCTTGCAGAAACAGAAGATTTTATGATTTCAGATTCTACCTCAGATTTTCTTCTTCAATCCACAACAGAGAAATCAGGTTTTGCAGGAACAAGAGAATTTCAAGAGCTCGTGTGGATTAATCCTCAGTCACCGTTTCAGTATTTGATATCCAAAAGGGTTCTGCATCAAACAAAGCAGCTGCTATTCGACTGTGTAAGGGAGCTAGTCCAAAGCCATGAGGGAAAAGAAAGAAGACAGTCGGATTCTAAGGAGGTTTTCGGTGCAGGTGAGCTCCGGCAGCTCCTATGCGTGAAGTTAGAGGGGTGGGGAGAACAATCCGTTAAGTTGTTGGATTCAGATTTCGTTAATTCTTCACCTGAGTGGAGTGACTTTGATTCAGTGAAGAGGGATCTTGGATTGGAAATCGGAGACGCCATTTTGGAAGATATCACCGAGGAAATTATGATAGATATGAATGATCTTAAGGCTAGGATGAAAGGTCAGTTTTCACAATAATTTTATTTGATTAAATTAACAAGGGTCGCCTGTAAAATTAACAGGGATAATTTAGATAGAATGAAGGTTCTAAATCTGTCTTTCATCCAACGGTTATTGTTGTGTAGTGTAACATCATCTAGATTCCACAACAGTTTTTTGCATTAACAATCATTTCTGTCAAGAAAAAAAAAACTAATTTTATTTTACTGACTCTTTTGTTCTGGGATTCAGCCTGCAAGACGTCAAAATCAGAAAAAAAAATTTTCCCTCTTTTTTCAGTGAATTCAGAAGAGTTGAAAGTACATTGAAGCAAATTAATTTCATAAGCTGTAGATAAGAAAAGGCCTGAATATCATGATCATCTATGCACAAGTGTTAACGATCTTAAAAAAGGCTAGGATAATACCAAATTAGTGGATTTCACCATCCTCATTAACTTCCCCATCTTCTAAATCATTATAACCACTGTTTCTGCGAGAACCATCCCGATGCTCTCTCTTGTTCTTCTTATGCCTGCTTCCACTGTCTGAATCAGGTGAATATGCATGCTGCAAATAAATATATTGAATGAAAATTTAAGTTTGTTCCAGGAATTAATACAGGTTACAAGTTAATAGCTATTCCTTTCTTTTCGATTGAAAAAAAAAATTGAGAGAGAGAGAGAGAGAATAGCTATACCTTTCTTGATTTTTTACGGTCACTGCTACTGCTATGTCTACGGGACTTCTTAGGTTCCTCTTTATCATCCTTGTCAGAACTCCCGTCCTCAGCAGCACTTTGATGCCGTTTGCGGTGTTTCCTATCTTTATCTTTTTCCTTTTTCTTCTCTTTATGGCCATGACGGTCAGTTGGATCTACATTTTCACTATCTGTATCATCCTTCTTAGTTTGTTCCTTTTCTTTCTCACGCTCTCTTTCCTTGTTCTTTCTCTCCTCCTTCCGTTTCTCTTTCTCTTCTCTCTCTTTTTCCCTCTCCTTCTCCTTTTTAGCCTGTGAAATACCACCGTCAGCACTTTTACATGTATATATATATATATATTTGATGATACGGAAGGTTTTAATGTACAATTCATGTTAGCATTTAAGAGAAATATCTTGTTTCAGCAGGCAACAGTGCCTTGAACCGAGTTTACAGCTTCCACTGAAAGCTGAACGCAGAAATAGCTCCAATATTTCACAAAACATTCAGTCACCAATATCTATAGCAAAAGGGCTTTGTTAGGTAAAATTATAAATAAATAAATAACTAGATTAATAGGAAGGATCGGTTTCATGACCATAAAGAAATGGCATATAGATTAAAGGCAACAGTAACCTTTAGCTCAATTGCACCACCATGGCCTTAGGGGGCAAGAAAAGGAGCGAAAAGGTTGTTCGTATAATTTTCCAAATGTACCTCTACCATCCAATTTAATTGGGTCAAGAGGGCTAAGAGAATATAGGAATTGGACTGTTAAAAAATATTAGCCGTGGCAAACCATATACAAAAAAAAGGTACTTTAAATAAAGGATTTAGGTACCTTCTCCTCCTCACGCTTGCGCCCTTTTTCCTTGGCCTTTTCCTTCATGTAAGTAATGTATTCCTCAAAGATCTCTCTCCCAAAGCTCTCTTCCGCCATTGATCTGATAAAATTGCAGGGTCAGCCAAAAGTCAAGGAGATAATATGTTCTAGAAACTGAGGGGTTAGGTATAACCAATTTCCAGCAAATAATGTAAGAACTGTCTAAAATGAAAGTGAAATACCTGTATTCTTTGCTTTCTTCAAAAAGTGACTTGGAATCCTCCCAATTAGAAGATGTAGTAATCTCCTATAAAGCAGTCCAACCCCCAAAGTTAAATAGGATGGTGAAGGGAATCTCTTTAACAATTAACACAATTATATACTTTTGATGTACCTTAAATGTATGTAACAGCTTTGTGAAGTCATCAGCAAGACGCTGGCGCTTTTTAGCCTCTTTCTCCTCCTTCTCCTTGGCTCTCTCAAGCAAGTCTTCATATATGAGCTGCAGAAGAGTATTAAAAGTTGACTTTCCCCCATAATTCTTGTATCAGCTAAATTATAATAGAACAAATTCCTACAAGAAATCTACACTATGGAAGCATGCTGAAATCAAAGTTACTAGTAATAAAACCAAGCTTCTTTTGATTGAATTGAAATAACAATTTTCTGAGAGAAGATCCAGCGCACATTAATCAGACAATAAAAACCATGAATCTTATAAAGACTAGCTGACCATAAATCTAAGAATAGTCTTCAGGTAATATGGAAGGCCTGACTAGGGACTAAGTGTAACAGCATCATATTAACTCCTTTTTAAGGCAAAGACTGATAAAAGTGGAAGAGTATAATCATTAAGAAGGCTTAAGCAGTGTGGTTTAATTGGGCAAGAAGAGGAAGGAGAAGGATCCACAGGTCAGCATTACCACAGCAGCTGTACCATGAAGCAATCAGCATGAGCAATGCATTTTTATAATTCCTCAAAAAGTTCCTTCAAGAACATATGGCATCATCAAAACCGAATTGACATGTCACCATCATACTACATAGATTTCCAAGTCATCAATATTCAGACAAGCACCATTTTAGAGCTCTGGACCAGTTATTCAAACCATGCAAAAGGACTTTTAATTATATAATAACATTCTTGGAGGTTTGATATCCATTATCTAGTTGAACTTTATATAAATTAAGAAGCACCTTTAAGTTGACATCTGATATTGGTGGAGAATCAATATCTTCTGAGATGGCAGCCTTGAATTCCTCAAATGCCCATGTAGAAATAATTGTAATCTGGGGGGAACAGGAAAGGGGCTTAAGAGCTTAACTATAAGAAATCGCAGTATAAGACATTAGAAAAGAAAAGTACATTACCTTGCCTGACTTCATTGATTCCTTTACATGAGTTTTGTCTTCATGATACTATCAACATGTAAAGATAAAGTTAGGTGCACAATTAACATATTTCTCCAACTTTGAGCAAAACAACTTGACTGAACTCAGTTTTAATCAAAATAACCGAGTGAAACAAGAACCCAATGCAGACATGCAATCATGAAATAAATGACAAGCAAGGAATCTAGCATGATAAGTGATAACTTGCAATCCATAATATGTCAGAACTTGATCCTAACAATAAAAGAGGAAGCAACATGTAACAGAGACCATTTTAAGCATATTTCTGGAGGTTATATGCGAAATACCTGTTTTTCTAATCGTTCAGCAACATCCTCAAACAAATCTTTTGGGGTCGAACCAGATGTATTTGACGCAACAGCATGATATTGAGGCGAATCCCTGACCTAAGTATCAACAAGAAGAAGTCTAAGATCTATTCTGATGCAAAAATGCAATACCTTGCAATGCTGGATCTCAGCCGCTCTCCTTCAAATATTTAAAGGAAAAAAAATTAAATAGGGGATGTACCTTCAAACAATAATCAAACCAGTAAGTTTTAGCATTTAGCGTGCCATCAGCAACATGTTCTTCCATTAGCTGGCAAAATGCATCACGGTTTTTCCGCTCAGCACGTCTCAATTGTTCCTTAGATTCAACCCAAAAAAAAAAAAAAAAAGAAAAAGATAAAGAGCAGATATTGGAAGCAAATTAATTAATTATCATAAAAATGTATTCTACCTTCTGTATCTTCTTCTTTTCCTCTTCTTCCTTCTCCAAGTCATGAATGTAATCCTGGAAGAAAAGCAAGCGATCAATTTTTTCAAGACGTGAGCATCTTTCATCATCCTCTAATTGATCTTGAACCTTCCGCCACTGGCTGTTCACCTTCAAATTGTATGAGAAATCATGTAAGTTAGAAAAATCAGAACATCTTATAAATGGGAATATTTATATCTCCCATTACTCACTCTTATACCTTAATAAAATCACAGGATTCCAAAAATTTCCTGTAGTCTGCCACAAACTGCCTACGCTCCTCGGCAGCCTTTTCCTTTTCCTGCATTATATAGAAATAAACAGTAAGAATACCACCACCAAGCAGAATTTAGATTAGTTCTTCTAGTCTCCCAATATACACAAGAATGCCTAACTACCGATAGATATGGCACAAGTGGAGACAGAATGAAAATAGCCAAAGACATTATGTATTTGACCATTCTGTAAGGCACCCACAAAAAATACAAGTTAGTCATAGTGAATCTGTAGTTGATAGAGGCAGACATGCCCAAGTTTTTTGAATATATCTTTTACACTAAAATCTTGATATATTGTCCAAAAACCCCAAGATCACAGTATTGACTGAGGACATAAATAAAATGATGAAAATAGAATGAGGCTAGCCAGGGTACCAGACTTTACATCTAAATAGGCATATATAAAATGCTAATATAATGTCCCACAATTTATTGTCCTAATTATAAATGAACCAGAAAATAATACAAAACCACATAATCATATTTTGTCAAACCAGAGACAATATACAAAAAGAAGATTAAGAGAGTTTCTCACTTATATCTCCTTCCCATTTAGAGAACATGAGCTTAATTCATACAAACAACATAGAGGTATTCTTTCCCATTTTTCTCATTGAGATATATAATTTTGAAGCATAAAACAAAGTTCAAATTATTATGTACCATATCCATATTTTGCAACCAACGTATATATACACAGATGCACAACTGAGTGGAAGTTACTAATAGTTACCTTCCTCTCAAGTTCCACAATGTAGCTCTCATAAAGATCCTCTCGGTCTCTGGGTCGTTCAACAGCTTTGAACCGTTCATCATTTTCAAACAAACTCTGAGCTTTGCTGATCAGGCAAAACATTTAGTTAGAATATTTGAAACATTTTCCACATTGCCTAGAATGATACTCTAAAGTAAAAAAGCCCAAGCATAATCAAAAGTGTACGAAAAGGGACTTCAACCTCCATCTCATGGATGATGTAAGTTCCTTGCACTCCTGCAAAGAAATCAAAGAAACAGAAAACATTACATCAAAGAGAAGTTCAGAAGTAAAGAAACGTAAAATGAAGTGTTATGCAACATACTTCCAGCATCTTTGTGAATTCTTCCCGAGCTTTTTTCTGTCTCATGCGTCTCTCCTCAGCCTCCAGTTTTTTCCTTTGACCCAAATACTATATTCAATATGATCAAGCTCATGTCAGAACAATATAAATGCTGCTGTTATAAATAATAATAATAATAATAATAATAAAGTAAAAGAAGCGCACATATAAATGCTCATTTTAGTGTAATAAGCAGCAATAGGAGGGAGTTCAACACGCCAAGCCAACCAAAAAGGAATCTATATAATTAAAAATATGGAACAAAAATCCCAATGCCTAAGATTCCAAGAAATGTTCACCTCATTGAATGCTTGCTTCCGCTCACCAAGTGTCTTCAGAGCACCATATCTTCTGTCATTAATTATCTCTTTCATTGTCTGGGATAGATTTCAATGTCATTCAAGAAGATTTACTAAGTAATCAAATACAGGGAAAAAAGACGTGGCTAAGCTACCTGCTCCCAGGTCCAATCGGACTGAACATTTACAGATTCCAGAAGAGCTTTGAAAGCATTTTTTGCCTCCTACAGCAGGAAGACAATGAAAGATTAAATATAAATAAATGAAATAAAAAATAAACGATGATTTTTATGCCATTGATGGCATCACAATTTCCTATCTTTCAGGATAGAAAATGAAGGATCTCAAACATCATTCTTCAGAAAACATTAAAATGTTAAAAAGGGGCAATGCTCCTAGTATTAGTACCAGCTTATTGGCATAAACCAAAGGTTCATTGTCTAGAGTTTTCTCTTCTACTGGAATCACATTAACTTTTCCAGCTACTGCCATTCCCTTTTTTGCTTCCTGATTAACAATGTACGAATAAGTTAATCATATGAAATAAATAGTTTCTCCTACCAGCCGAATTACAGAATTAGAACTTTCAGAACAGCCCATTAAGTTTACCTCAATATCCTGCACAGAAGCTCCATCTACCACATGTGCAGCATCTTGAGAAGTTGTATTTTCAAAGCCACTCCTGTGTCAAGGACAATGAAGCATTCAATTTCAAACATAATTAAGGTGACTAAGATTATCAAATATATACTACCCAGAAGATTTCCATATTCCATACATTATAGTTGGCCGAGCATTTATCGAAGTAACAGAAACACTTGGACTTCCTGCAACCGCAGCAGGTGAAGGAATCACACCTAATACAGAGGGTTGAACTCCAGAAGCACTTGCTGCTGCAGTTTGTGCCAATGTAGGGGAAGGATTACCAACAGGCATAACAGAAACTGGGCTGGAAGCCACTGAAACATTGGAGCTGGCAGCGATGGCAGTGGTATGAGTTTCAGCTGAGGAGACAGCAATAGCAGCAGCAGCTGGGGCTGGAGAAGTCAAACCCATTTCTACATGGGTTCCTTGGCTAGCTACCATCTGAGCTTGTTCACGAGCCAACTGGAACCAAATATTAGAAAATGGTATCAGAACTGCAAAAGGCTGGGGAAAACAAAGAACAAACAGGAAGAAAATCACAAGGACAGACCTTCAAATCCTCAGGAATTGTCCACTTTGACTGTTTCGTAATCTTGTTGTAATAATACCTGTAAAAGGAATGACCTTATCACGTGCTCATCATGAAAATAAAATTCCACAAGCTAGAATGATATCAAAGAAATGTTCAATGGAAGAAACATAGAAAATGAATAGGACCAATGGAATTCCGAATTCCAACATACTTTCTTCCCTCTGGAGTTGTAAATTCCTTCCAAACTGTAGATGCATCAGCCCTCTGTTGTAGAGACAAGATATTATAAGAAAGTAAAACTAATAACATAAATTTTTGAATAAAAATTTAGAGAATCCATAAGCATGGCAAGCATCATTGAACCAGCATTTCTTACCATTGAAAATCAGTGATATAATATATATCCACGGAACTCTATATAAACTATTATAACCAAATCCTCAAAAACATAGCATTAAAAAAAATAAAAAAACCAAAGAAATAGATATTTGTTATAAAATAAGAATTAGCTATGAGCAGATAATATAGATGTTTGGACAGCTGACGCACATTATGAACATCAGGTCGTGCATAATCCAGATCTATCTAATGAAATTTACAAGATTAGAAAACATGAAGAAACTACCAATGAAAACCATTAAGATAAATAACCAACAAAAGTGAATGATGTAATTAGGTAATTCCACCAGAATATGGTAACTACCATTAGGGACAGAAATTTCCATTTTCTCACCCTAAACTAAAACTTCACTTTGGATGATGGACAAAGTGAGAGTATTTACTATTAGGCATTGATGAAGTACCATCCAACCATCATTTCCACATTAAACAATTATCCCCACATAAGAAAACAAGATAAAAATAGTAAATTGTTGCCTGCCTTGAGAAAGTGAAGGCCCGCCCTCAAAGTGAGCATACAGAGCAGTCGTTAAATTTCTCCAAATGTGCCATGACATCTACAAACCAATGCAAAAACATGCAAAACAAAACGAAACTTCATATAAAACAATTTTGATTAATTTATTAACAATGGCTACAATCTTCAACATCCATAAAGGGAACAACTTGTAATAACAGCATGACACAACAACCATGTTTAAAAATATCGTAGAAGGCAATGCTTAAAATTTCAGAAATTGCAACCAGTGAGTTATATCTCTCACCTCAATAGGTGTCATCAGTTCAGGAGGCTTTTCCCAACTAGACTGTCTAGACTTCTTGTTGTAGTAGTATCTGGAACATGTATGAAACGTTAGATGGAGCTGAAGATAAAAAAGAGTGATGATATCATATGAACAAAGACCATGAGTCCAAATGAATTGAAGTTTTTTTAATAAAAAAGTATAAATTATATGGTATGAAGAAAAGCACAGATGCTTGCTAAACAAGCATGATATTGTCTGAAAAAACTAACTTCTTGGCACAAAATGAAAAAGAAGTTACCTTCTTCCATCAGCAGATGTATGCTCTTGCCAATCAGAGGAAGACTGCTGAGTTAGGCTAGAAATATTAGCGACCTGAAGGGCCAAAAGGGCATGGTCAAAAGTAGTGAGATTTTCTAGAACAATAAAGCAGAGATTATAGCAGCTTACCCTAAGGAAAAAATTGGGTTAGTGCCTTGATGAAAGTAAATATTCTACATAAGTATAAACTATCAGAATCCACTGCCAGTTTCATCAACAATGTAATAAATATCATAAATAGGGTAAAAACATTTTGTTCATATTTTAAGGACTCAAGAGCTATCATGCTCAATTTGCAGCATCAAGAGAGCGCATTGATCTATCGATCAGAGATAAAACATAATAGGTGATACAATACCCATATATGCCTTCTTTTCCAAATATAATATAGAAGATGATGTGACCAAAGCCAAACGTAACCTTGCCAATCAAGAGAACCATATATCATTGACCATTTACTTGAACATAAGAAAATCAACATGTCAAAAGCACCTTTAACTTACCAAGAGAAAAACCAAATCCTATAAGAGGAGCAAATTTCATTAAGGTTATCTTATATGTCCAAATGTGCACTAAAAGAAAATCTTATGAGTGCAAATTATATGAAAACAAAAGCTGGCAAAAAATAATAACTGTTTGAACTTTGAAAGCATCTTCAATGGAAAATGACTTCATATGCCACATGAAAAGATCTTCCAACATGTTTACATAAGAAGATAACCCAATGGATGAAGCACTTACTGAATCTGTGGAAGAAGTGGCTGGAGGTTGTTGGCCACTCTGACTCCCAGAGGACAGCCAAGGCTGTCCTGCTATTGGTGCAACAGGTGCGTGCACTTCAGATACTGGCTGGTATTGGGTTGGTACACTGACAGTGTTCTGTGGTTGGCCAAATGAAGGAGCAAACTGTAAAATAATACAATCCGAGTAAGAGTACACTGGGAGTCCGCAAAGATGAAACAGATAACAAAACAAGAATGAGGGTTTACAGTATGTGATGAAGAAACTGGCATCCCAGAAGCACCTAAGGCAGCCATGTGACCACTCATGGGGGGAGTATTAAGCTGTGATTGTGGTGCAGCAGATGTAAGAGGCCTGTTTGGTTGAACATATGATGCTGCTATAGGCTGTGATGGTGGTGTAGCAACTCCAGGTTGACCTGGCCTTGGTGGAAACTGCTGCAATGGTTGAGAGTATTGCAGGTGCTGACTTTGGACAGCAGGCATCCCAACATTTGGAGGTCGAAACAGTTGGGAAGCAACTGGAAAATATTGTTGACCTGGCTGTGTTGGAACCATTGGTCGAAACTGCAATGGAAGACTTTAGACATATGCACTAGAAAAGTATCTAACAGAAGATAAGAATAGTCATCAAACATGGAAAAGAAGGGAGTTTACTTGTCCAGGTAACAGAGAAGTATAACTTTGAGTACCCAAGGTTCCCCCTGCAGAAGGCCAGTGCAGCTAAGAGAAAGAGGGGGCAGTAGAGAAGATAGCTAAAATGTTAAGACAATTTTATGATACAGTAATACAACAAAAGCATCCGAACATTAGCATACTACCTGTGCACCAGAAGTTGGAGGATTATTGGCCATTCCAGCACATATACAACTTGCCTTGAATAGCTAGCTGTAAAAATCAGTATACCATTCAATATCACCATGCCAAAGATCCTTAGGTACTGCTGGACTTCACATTTAAAAAAAAAAAAAACTGCATCTACCAGTTCCGAGCTAGACGATTAACCAATCAGATCATTAAAACAAGATAATGCATCTCTATCATAAGCTTCATTAATACGATTATATAAGCATCCTCATCTACAGTTGTACACTACAGCAATATATACAAAATCCATGCAGAATGAAATCGAAGAGATGTCTGGAACCAGAATTGAGCAACCAAAATTGCTCATACACAATTAAATAAATACCAAAACCTTATCCAAATCATAGAACTCCATTCTTCTGCTGAATCTAAATGAAGAAGATATCTAATTCTGAAAAAATACCAGGCACCTTTCCGAAGAAGTTCAAGTTGAAATAAGCAGTTACAGATCGACGGCACAGAAGGAGATGTTGCAGAAAATTACCGTGAATTGATCGCAATCGCTGCCGGAGAAGAAAAGATGAGCTTGGATCTCACTGTCGATTGGTCTATCAGGTGCTAGGGTTAAGAGTGCAATAAAGGGCAAAAAATATCAGGGGGGAAATTTAGGACCGCCGGTTCTTCGTTGGCTACCTGGCTATTTGCCGCTGCCAGTGCCAGTTACAACTTTCGGTTCGCGTGGGTGAACCCAGGTCTGGTTCGGGCCAAAGCCAAAGTTTCTTCTTCTTTTTTTTTATTTTTTTTTATTTTTAAAGGTAAGTAAGTTAAATCATCGAAGGGTAGAAGTTCGAACCCTAGCTATATGGATGAGAAAATGCATCTTAGGGTTTTAAAATAACCGAATTTTTTTTCAATTTTAAGAACCGAAACCCAATTGAAGTTTTTACAAACCAATTGATTTGATTATCAATAAAATTGGTTCGGTTTTGATTTTTATTAAATAAATATTAATCAATTTTTTTCAATAATAAATTATATTTTATCTCATATTTTATCATATTTTATTATATTTATTTAAATTTCGATTTTCAATAGGCTTATTTTTTATTTTTAATTTGTAAAAGATTCAATCGAAACCAAATTAAATTTATTTGATTAATATTAAAATCAAAATAGTAAAACTTAAAAATCATTAAAATTGAACTAAATTTATTTTTTTGATTCAGTTTCTGAGTAACTGACGGGTTATCCACCCAAATGCCCACCCCTAATGCATCTATTCCATTGATCACCCTATTTTCAAAGGTTTTTTCCTAAACAAAAATTGAAATGAAAAATTCGAAAAAAAAATATTTCTTTCCTTTCTTTCCTCCAATTTATGATCAAACAAAGGTATTTACTGTAACTCATCAATTCAATTAAAATAAGTGAGTGTGAAATTTCTCTTATTGAAAAGCTAGTAATGTATCATGTTGTATTTAATTTTTAATTTTTCTTCTTTTACGTTTTTTTTTTTTTTTCATTGAAAGTTGCTTAGCAGTTACTACATATCAACTCAACTAAATACAATGGGTTTGAGAAACGTTTCTTCTTTGACCATTTTTTTTTTTATTTTTTTTGTATTGTTTTAGAATAAGTAGTGTGGAGGTGAGATTTAAAATCAAATCCATTAAGAAATGTTTATGTCTCTATCCCTTTCAATAACCACCAATTCAAGCGTTATGTGTCATGCCGAGCAGGTGCATGTTACTCTGCACACATTAGGCACGAAGGAGATCTAGGGTGATGAATGGTGGGGGATTAGGCGGTATCCTGACCTAAAGATTGTATCACTTTGAGTTAATTGATGTTCACCTCATGAAACATGCATGTATTTTTTAATAGTATGATGGGAAGCTCCTTCATTTCATTACCTATATTTTTTAATATAGATTTTTTATTTTATTTGAATTAAAAATTATTATTAAATTACTTAAATAGTTAGTCATCATATATATATATATATATTTTTTTAAATATATTCTTTGCGAATCCTCTCCTAAAATTATAGTGGAATTTTGTTTTCTTCCTTGTCTCTCTTTCTTCTTTTCAATTCAATTTGGGGAGAAGAAAAACTAAATTTTGTTTGTACAGATAACCTGCCGTGACGAAAATTGTGTTCAAGTGAATCATACTTTACACAAACAAGTGGTTTAGATAAATTGATCTTGAATCAAGTATAGTTAGTAAATATAATCAATTAAAATGTTACCATTAATGATGATGCCATCACGTATATGCGCACCTATAATACAAATCAAACGAAAGAATCTATGATATTCCAAGAAACAACCCAGGATTGAAGAAAGTGTCAAAGATCACATTTAGTTCCATTTGTTTTGCCCGTTTCTTTCCTTGTCTCTTCTTTCTCCTTGGGGACTCGAGAAATTCTAACTAAATTACCATCCCTAACACTGCAGGATTGCTTGCAAGAGAAACCAAACCCAACCTCTTTCTTGGGCAGTTTACCTTTGTGAGGGGTCTTGGTGCACTCTTTAAAAGCTGCCAAAAAAGGGTCATCTTGATCTTGCCTCCTGAGCCCTTTTCTAGAAGAACTTTTTGAGGGAGGCTGAAACACGCAAGGGGGGAGAGGAATTTGCACGTCATGGTTGGAAATTCTCGTGTTTTTGGATGAACATGGAGGTGGTGGTAGTTTCTGCGACATGTACATCTCCTCTTTAGCACTCTTCTCGTTTGACCCCATGGAGAAGCTCATTGAGAACGGCACTCTTCCTTGAGGATGAACCTTCTTTAATGTGTTTTGGGATAAGTTTGTTAGGAGCCTTTTATATAGAAGAAAACCTTAAAGTTTCCACGGGGTCAGGGGAACGCAAATAAGACGTGAAGAAAGTGAGGTCTTGATTTGCTTTCAAACAGAAAACGGGACCGAGTCTACTAAGCCTGCATCATGGAAATTGAAGGGAAAGTGACAAACTAAGGATGATACTAATTTGATCTGAAGATTCTTACGGATTACTAATGAATAATCAATCTTTCATGCCGCCTAATTCGTCCGCAATTAATGACTAACTAACTTGAATGTTGAAAACAAATATGGACACTAGTATAAACTTCCTAGAAATCTCGATGACCCTATTGATAATTTACATGGTAAATAACTATAGAAGATATGGGATAGGGCAATTATATATATATATATATATAAATTGGTTGTTCACTAAATTCCTTTATGGATTAAACAACAAGCATATCCGGAAAATAGAAAATTTAGTCTCAAAAACTAGCAGAATGGGATTAGACAAAAATATGTAAGTTTTGAGCGAATAATTTTGATTGTCACAAGAAGTTATTAATTTTAACTCATACCCACATCATTACACCAAGGGAAGATAGAGCATCAAATTTGATTATTTTCTGTTTTCCTTGTGTTTCTGTTCCTCTTTCCGTCTAATTTCCTTAAGAATCAGCCTGGGAAACTGAGCAATCCTCACCACATTATCACTGCTAACGGAGCAGGAATACTTACAGGACATATGGCGAATGTTCTTCTTCTTTGTCCTAGAGTTGGCCTCATTTTTCCCATTGATAGAACACTCGGTGCATTTTCTGTAAGCTGCAACAAAAGGGTCATCCTGCTTTCTAGTAGTACTCTTCTTCAATGATCCTCTCGTCGACAGGGGAGGATGAGGTATGCAGGGAGGAAGAGACTTCTGAAACTCACAGGAATTGAACCTTGCACTCTGGGAAGCGCAGGGTGGTGGAGGCAAATTCAGGGTGAAACGAAGTACATCAATGCTTCCCTCTTGATTTTTGGCCTTGGACACTCCAGGCTTGAGTTCCCATGAAAAGGGCACATTCACTTCAGAGTACTCAACCTCCTTATGACTCATTTTTTGATCAAATCATGCAATTTACATTGGTTATAGACTTATAGTGTGTTGCAAAGCATGAATTCATGCTCATGTGCTTTATGCTTTTCAACCACTGATGTTTTCTTCTAAAGGGTGTTAACTTTTAAACTAATCAAGTAAAAAAGACAAATTAGTCGCTGATTTAAAGAAGAACACGTAGAAAATCTGCTAATCAAAGTTTAACAACCTCAGAATGTTGGTTTCAATGTACCTCAAAATTCTAGTGATGTTTGCACATGAAAATTGCTGGAGCAACCAACATTAGGTTGACAACAACATTGACTCCTTAACAGTACTGCATTTGGTTTACCTAGGCCTAATTAGTAATCTTAACGAGTTTTCTCCACACGGCAACTAACAAATTAAAATATCTATGGCCTCATGTACAACGTTGAAAAATGGGGACTGTTGACAGAAGAATGTAGGGAATTGTTTTCATTCCATGCCATGATAATGACAATATCCAATCTTATAATCAACAAATTTAACGTTCCATCTCTTTCCCCCCGTCATTTTTGCTTAAATAATTTGTTATATATCAAAAGACAACTCGTTTTTTTTTTTTTCTCCAAATTTCATATTGTTTGAATTTAAAATTTTTAACATAAAAAGTTGATTTTTAAATTTAAATTAATTAATATTATTTATTCCATGTCTTATAACTTTAATTGAATAACTAGAGTTAAGTATAAGAAAATAGTGTCTATCCGCCTTATCTCCTAAAAAATTAAGAGAAAAATTATCTCAAAATTACGTCGTTTCAATAAATTTTCATTGAAAAAGATTAAAATATTTTATTTTTAAATTATGAATTAAAATACTTTTCGTCTTTCTCTATATTACTTTATTAAAACTACATAGTTTTGAGGTGATTTTTTTACTAATTTTTAGGAGGTAAGGTGGATAAGTATTAATTTATAAGTATAATTCTTGGATTTATGGGCATGAAATTCTTGTATGTATTCTAAGAAATTGACAATTATACGCATATATGCCTGTATACAGGCAGGCGAGCATAGCAGAGCTGTATTATTTTGAATATTCATTCTGGAGAAATTTCCAATTTTGGAGTGTTTCGGGTTGATTATTAAATTGCGTGTGAGGTTTGATTGGTCTTGAATATTTGAATACCTTAGAAAGAACTGTATATACAGATGCTGCTAATGAGAAGTTTGGTATGCAAAAAAATCTTCTTCCACCTAAAGCTATGTATATGTAGTATGAACAAAGTTTCTTTTAATCATTACCTATTTACCTTAATGGACCACACCATACATATTGAAAAAGGGAAAAAAAATTTTGTGATTTAATAAAATTTACTAATAGTAGCTGAGGTATGATTTGAGTTTTATTAATGTGCTTGTCTGCGTGATGGAAATTACTCAAATTATGAAAGCAAATTAACATTAAGAAACTTTTATAGGAAATTAGGAATAGTTTAGGTATAATACTTAATTTTCATTTTATCTTCACAACTAACCAAGAAATATATATATTTTTATTCATTTCTTAGTTTAGTAAAAAATAATTAACTTTTAGTTTATTCTTAATTTTTTTAAGAAAGTTTTTTAATTTATTTTGTTTTATAGTTTGACAAAAATAACTATGACCGCCGATTAAACATTACCTTAAATTGATAAAAGAAAATGATTATATCATTACTGCCACTTATATGAAATTTTTGCTAAAGATGATTGCCAATTGTCATGCTAAGCTGGCCAGAAAAAAAAAAAAAAAATTGTCATGCTGAGGCTCTCCAAGAAGAGTAGGGTGAGCCCATGATTTCATTTTTTGATTATTCAAGGGGGAGGGGAAAGAGATGGGAAAAACTCCAATGTTGGGAAGGGGAAGGGAGAAATTTCTTGAACTTATGGGGTAATCACTAATTAGGGGATAGTAGAAAGTTCAGACAAATAAGGATATGACCTTCTAAAACAATTTTAATTATAAATATAATTTATTTATTTATTAAGATGATTACTTTTTAAAATATTTTAATGAAGTATGTGATTTATGTGATTTTTAAAAAAAAAAGTGAAGTGAAACTACAAGATTATACTTTAATTAGAAACTTATGAAAAGCGAAATAACTTTAATCAGTAAGAGAAAAAAAAATTGTATTCTTAATTAAAAATTATTTTAAAAGGTTATATATATATATATATATGTATTTTCGTTTTTGTACAAGGGAAATTGGGAGAAAGAGGAAGAAGAATTGGAGAAACAAAAGGATTTAAACCGAGTGATGTGAGTGAAAACTCATATAATAACCACATGACTTAAATACCATGTTCTTAAAAGGTTATATCATTACTCGTACTAAATTTGAAGAAGGAAATCATGTCACCTAGTCTACCACTCGTGGTTGGCAACAATATGATATTCAAATGGCCAAATTCATCAAAATGGTCTAATTTCTTATAAGATATAACGGTGGAGCCCAAATAATTTTGTACTTATAACAATGACGGTAAAGTAAGGGTGTGATTATTGTCACACATAAAAATATTGAGGTAGGTTGTGGTTATTGTCATACATAAAAATATTGGGTTACATAAATTTTTAATTTTTTTTAAACATTGATTATATTTAATTTAATTGATAAAAAAAAATAAATGTAATTATTAATTAATAATTAAGAGAATAATTAATAATTATTAATTAACAAACTAAAATTAATAATGGGCTAAACTATGTCAATATCTTTTTTTTTTTTTTTAACATATTTGTAAGGGGCGGGTTTCAAACCTAACCCGAGGAGAGGGGAATGCACCGGGGTAGTTATTGCCACTAGGCTTCAAGGGTAAGGTGCAAACTATGTCAATATCTTAACTAGCTATTTAAAGAGAAATATATATATTCATGTAGTTTTAATATCATGCGGAGCAATCGACAAACTAACTAATTCACTAGGAGATGAAGGAAAAAAAATTTATTTAAATATAAAAAGTAAGAGGAAAGGATTAAAAAATTTATATGGATATTCAAAAAATTAGGAGAGAGAAAACTTTTTTTCTTTACTTTATTTTTTTATTTAATTATTTATTCAAATTAAAAAAATAAATACATAAAAAATATAATTTATGTTATTTTATTTTTTTCAACTCAAATATAGAGTTAACAAATTATGGTATTTATGTTAATTAATTTTATATGAATTTTTATCTTAAATTATTAGAAAATAAAATAAAATATTTATAATCAAAATAAATAAAAAAACATGAATATGCGAAATTAAAATAACATAAAATATGTATAATCAAAATGAATAAAAAAATCTTATATACAAATTTATATAAAATTAATTATAAATAAATACTGTGCTAAGATAAACAAACCCTTTATTTATTTTTCTTCGTTGTATTCCAATTGTAGTACGATTATGTGAAATTCTAAAACCACCCCTAGGGTTTTACTTCTGCTCCTCTCCGGGACAAACGCGAATTTCTCTTCTCCCTCCGCTGTGCTTCGCCTCCAAATCGTTCTTTGTTTCTTTCTAAAACACTTATTTATTTCTGTCGTCGGAAAGATGGACGGAGCCGAAGCAGGCCAGTCGCTGATTAAGCGACTAGCGTCCTGCGACAAGCCAACCCGTGACAGAACTGTCCGGACCCTCCTCCAGACCTGGCTTCCATCACAGCCCCAGGTCTCCGAAGAAGACATGAAGAGGCTCTGGAAAGGCCTCTTCTACTGCGTCTGGCACGCTGACAAGCTCCCGGCACAGACCGAACTCATCGAGAAGCTCTCTTCTACTCTCCCTTCTCTCGACCCACCTCTGTCCCTCGAGTATTTCTCTGTTTTTTTAATCACTATGCGGCGGGAGTGGACTGGCATCGACAGGCTCAGGTTAGACAAATTTTACCTCTTAATTCGTAGGTTCTTGCACTGTTTCTTTCTTATGTTGAAGAAGTGGTTATGGGATTTGGATTTTGTGCGGAGCTCAATTGGGATATTAGTTGATAGGACTTTTCTTGCTGATGATAACTTGCTAGGCAATGGTGTTAATTATCACATTGCCTCCGTTTTCCTCGAAGAGATTAGGCCTTTTCTTCCAGTGAGGAAGGAAGTGCTCGAGGTTGTGTTTGAGCCGTTTGTTAGTGTCATGGGAAAAGTTACTGATAAGGTTTTGGTTGCAAAGATCAAGAATAATGTGTTTGATTTGTTGACTAAAATGGGGGGGAGATTGCTTGAGGTTAAGAAATCAGAGACTGAGATTGATTCCAGTGATGATGTGGTTGTGTTGGGGACAATTGCTTTGTTAATGGGATTTTCCTCCAAGTTTTATGAATTGGGGTCTTCGACTGAGTGCCATCAGGGAAATAGAAAGGTGTTGTTGGGTTTACACGAGGACTTTCTGAAGTTGGAAAAGGATCTGGCAACTTCTGGGATTGAGATTTCAATTCCTGAGGTTAATGAGGACTGTGGTGATAAGGTTCCAGAATTGGTTCCAATTGCCCAAGAGATGGAAACAGATGCCCCAGATGCTGCTGCAGAGCCTGCCGAAATTAATGCCAATGGGTCTGCTAAGAAGAGGTTGAAGAAGTTAAAGAAGGCTGAAAAGGCTTCTGTTGCTAGTGGCAAAAAGGCTAAGAAAGGAAAGACTGTTGAGAACCGTAACAGTAATTTGGATAAGGAGAATGACAGTGAGGTAAGTGCAAATGGTGAAAATTCAACCGCTGAACAACTTGGTGATGGGGATGCCATAACTTTTAATGAAATGGTGATATCGAACCTTCAGCTGCAATTTGAAAAGGTAGCTGGTGAGGTTGACTCGCATAATGATGTGCCAAGTGCTTGTGACTCACCCGTTGTTGCAGTTAATGGTATTGTCTCCAAGAAGAGAAAGAGATCAAAAGGTAAGGATGGGCAAAAACCCAAGAATGCAGAATTGACCAGCCAAGGAGATGCTGAAACTAGTGGAACTGTAAAGACCGGCGACAAGAGTGCCAAGAGGGTTAGGTTTTCAATGAAAAACAACTTGGTGTGGAAGCCCCAGAGCCCCTTACCTCCACAAAGTTTGAGATTACCACCCTCTGTTACACCTAGAGGAAGTGCACTTAAGAAAGGGGTACCTCCAGGTCCCATAAGGGAAATGGCTCCTGTGACTAAAAAGGTGAGAAAGAAAGCTAAATCTGTGAAGAAGGCTCGGATGGTAGTAAAGAACGTACGTGCAAAACGCCTGAAGATGGTATGAAGTTTGATTTTTTTTTTTTTTTCCAGTGGGAAGGAGCTTCACTAAGTTCAGTCATCTAGATTCTTTTTAACTTGATCACCTATGTTTCATTTTTTTAAGATTTCACCATATTGTGCTGCTTAGACGTTATCATCTTGAAATTTTAAAGTTAATTTTGATGGCACTTTGATTGTTTCCATTAAATGAAGAATAAATTTTGGTTATCTTTGCTTTTATACTTGCAGAAATCTTTTAGTCTGTAACTTTAAGCTCTTCATCCTCAATGTTCAGGCTTTTTCATTGCTGCTTACTTGTCATTTGCATCATAGACTTCAAATGTCATTTGAATCAAGAATAAGCCATTCCTTTTGCACATAATGCCTTGATGCTATCTCATTTCATCATCCTCTTCACATGAGCACATAACTCTACTTTGGTCCTGTCTTTGTTTTGCTAACAAAAAATCTAAAAGGTTTCTTGCCATCCCATCCCAGTTACTTAACCATCACTTTAGATCCCGTTTTATACCTAGGTAGTAGATTGTAATTGATGCAGAGGTTATCCTTCAATTCTCTGTTATATGATCGCTCTTAATTCTTGTATTGTATTCAGACATAGACATACAGGAGTGAAAATAGTTACTAAATAGGTAGATGATTGGATGCCATGATAATAATTAATACGAAGAAAATCCCTCGTATCATAATATTGAACGCTGGCCAAGATATATATATCATATAGAATGGCCATAGAATTAATTTTCGTCTTCCCATCTCTGCTTTTCTTTTATTTATCCATTCTGGGGCTTCCTTCTTTAATTTATTGCCTCATGGCTACTTACATCACAATTCTGAAAACGGTTTTTTTTTTTGTAATGATATGGTTAAGAGTTTTTGTTAGTATTGTTGGTTGATAGTGTATTAAACTATTAACCATTCTTTCCTAGCCATTGTTCAAACAAGACTCTGACCTGAAACTTCGCAAACTTCTCTGGCAAATGAGACAGAAGCGTTTAAAATATAAAGGGATTTTCTTAATTTATACACTAATGAACATTTAAAATTTGAGAGGGATTTTAACGTATAATAGAGTGCATTTATTATTATTAAAAATAAATATTGCTTTTAAAGTCTTTTTTTAAGATAAATTTAATTAAATATTTGATAAAATTAAAATTAATTTTTATTTTTAAAAAAATTACTAAAAAGTACTATAAATTCTATAAAGTATATATTAGAAAAACGCAATTTAAAACAATGTAAGTACCGAAGTTGTAACCTTTTGTATTGATGGCAAAAGCCAAGTGTCATTGTGTGATTTTTCTGTGGAATGGCCCTCTCTAAGTGTTCACTGTTTCTGCTGCCGTAACAGTGCTCACATTACTGTTGAAGAAAGTTGAAGGAGCAGATCTTCCCTTGTTTTTTCCCCCCTTTTGTTTTCCTTAAAAATAGCAAATGAGTAATGCATCTTCATAATCATTTACTGCCGTCCACAAATAAATGTCTTGATAGAAAAGGGCGAAGTTGCTGAAGGGTTAGGGTTATACTCACTATATAAAATACAAAATGCTAAGGTTACTACTATTTTTTAAAAATAATGTTTAAAATTATCAATTTATGAATTAATATTAATTTGTTAACTAATAAATATGAATTATTTTATTAATTAATAATTATTTTTATCAATCAAATTAAATAAAATTAATATGTTTAAAAATAATATTTTACAATTTTTTTACGTCCTCTGCTCACCCATGAGATAAATGACTACTGCATCAACTTTTACTTTTCTTTTAAATTCTTAACCCCATTTCTGTACAAGCAACCTTCATACTTCAATGCTTGCCAACCAACCAACAGCAATAAAATTGGTACTTGTCAATGTCTCAATCGACCGAATATTTTGCACTTAGGTGCTGAAAAATTGAAACTCAAACTGCCTTTCCGAATCTGATCTTTACTAAACAAACCATGCTTAAAGGATACAAAGATTAAAAAGGTTAAATGAGATATAACAGACTGACTAAAAGCTTTTTAGACTAAAGCTTCATCATCATCTCTTCTTCTTGCAGTACCTAAATCAGTTTTTGGTTTGCAGGTCAAAAGGGTTACAAGGCAGGCCAAGAGGAAGAATGCGCAATGGTTGAGCTAAGGAGATCATTGCAAAGGCTGGCCCCTTCACGAATCTTGTTATTCTCTGCTCTTGGACTGCTACCTGCACTGCTATTTGAGAGGGATACAAAGGTAGTCTTTTGTAAGACACCGGTTGGAGATGATCCTAGCCGAGGACTATTATCCCAACCCTCGGTCATCAGGTTGAGTGCTGATGAGTGTTTGCAGTCTGCTGTGCTGGTATTGGTATTATTCAGAACCTCCCCAAGAGGACCACCCAGGGAAGTCTCCCAAGAGATGGGAATCTCGTTTGCTTGCCTCTGGTTTGGTTCTTTGATAACACTGCCCACTCTTAGCCCCATCTGTATAAGGTCAAATTCACGCGATAATCTAAGAGGCGAGAGCATGACCTTCTCATTATCCGGAGAGGAAGCTGAAGACATGAAGTCTGATGCAGCCATGGGGATTGAAATTGAAAGCTGAGTCCTGTCTGATTGCATGTCTACTTCAGGCCAGGAAATGGTAGAGTGATCAGTCTGGCTTTTAGGCCAGTCGTCCATGAACTGGCGGAGGGACTGCTGGGATTCAGTTCCTTGGTCAGTAAGATCCTGGGAAGAACCAAAGTTTCTGAAGTTTACCAAGGGAGAATTTTTATGCGAAGGGTTGAGGAGGGAGTCAGAGGAAACAACTACAAAACCATTTCTTGTGGTTTCATCAAATGGGTTCTGCTGGCTTTGAATGAACAATGGATTTTCTTTAGATATCATGGACAGGCCAGCGGTATCTTGCATTCTTTTAACCGCATTCTCTCTGTTCAGAAACATCCTACAGAACCAAATACCATGAACAGAACCGATTACGGTTAAATTTCCTTTCATAACAGATTCCTTGATTCGTGACATTACTCCTTCACTAAGGAATTTTAACAAACATAAAGCAAACTTTCTAGAGATGAAACCTTTACCTGTTAAGGGGTGCTGCCGTGGAGAGATTAGATGCAGCGCCGGCCTGCAAGTTCTTGAGCTGATGCTGTGCAATGCTGAGGCTATCGGACACACCGCTGCCGATGGTGGGTCCAATCACCAGGGAGGAGGATGTAGCAGGCATCAGTTCGGATGGGTTGTTGGTGGCAGCGGAATGGCCTGATTGCCCTTCCACAGGCTTTCTTGAACGGTGGCGGCCCCTGTTCATGTGCCGCTCACAATACTTCTGGTCGGTAACCGCATCTCTCGAGCACCGCCATTTCTTCCCATCCGTTCTCCGACACCGTCCGGGCTCCGGATCGGTATTATTCGAGAATCCCAGATGGAAACTTCCCCATCCCACTTCCGAAACATCAAAATGGAAGGTAACACCCAAATCAACACAAAAAATTCTAAACTTTCCTCAAATTAACATAAAATAATATTAATGAAAAAAAAAAAAAAAAAAAACCCACTGCCAAGGAGAGTAAAAACAGGGATCAATACTTTCAGAAAACTAAAACGAGATCACAATTTCAGAAAGATGCAATTTTACTACAGAATCAAAATTTTCTTTTTCAGTAACTAATTTTTTATGGATGGATGTTGGTATTTGGTATTAAAAAGGAAAATTTATGAACAGAATTCTTTGCCAGTTGGTGGGGAGTAATGGGTATTTGCCAGACACGGGAACAAAACATACTTTGAAAGTGATGTTTTGAAGAAACAGATTAATGTTTGTCTTAAATTGTACTTAGCACATTATTTGCACTTGGCTGAAACAGAGTACTCTATTCTTTTTAGATGGATTGCCGGAAACTTACATGTATTGGGTTGGAGGAATCCGCCGGAAAAACCAGAGAAGGTAGCAGAATCAAAGGCCTTTCTTATAGGGAGTAGAAGATGAGAAGGAATAGGCACATTTGCAGAGAGGTATCTGTAGATCAAGGCCTGGTGTTCCAGCTCCATCCATTGAGATGGAGTGAAGGGCCCCCTAGCCCCTGCTAAGACCCCATTCATGTTTGCAACATTGAAACCTTCCTTATTGTATCCTGAACACAAAACCCAGAAAAATGAGCTGAAGAAGATGGAAGCAAACCAAAGGAAAAGGCTTTGATTACAATATTTAAGGAGGCTACAAGAATCATGAATTTGTTTTCTTTGATGGAACAAGAAAACAGAAACATAGAGGGGAGGTAGGGAAAAGAGTAAATATTTCTTTTTTTGAGTGAATGTAAAAATCGCTAAAAATAAAACAGAATAGGAACTAAAAACAATCAAAACTCATTTCTTTTGGCCATTCAAAACAATCAAAACTCTGGTTCAGAAAATTTCTCCTTTTGCTCCCTCAAGGTCACTGTTTGATTTATTACCAACACATTTCTACCTAAAACAGGAAGACAATGACCTGAAGGTAAGAGAGAAAAACATCAGAAATCACAACTTTTTCTTGACAGGACTTTAAAGTGAAAGACAAGGAAGAGACCCACTCAACCAGAGCCTAGAATCAAAACCAAAGAACAAAGCCATTTGCTTCCTGAGCAACCAACCAAAGCATATCATTTTCATTTCCTCATGTGATGTTGCTGAAAATTGAAAACGCACCTGTGTTTATACTGAAAGCAGGGGATGTGAGGTGAAAGTAAGGGAATGTGACATTTGGGGAACATTTATCCTCTGCTTTGGGAGAACAGAAGCTGAGCATTTGCTGATTCTGCTGCACATCCGGGAAGATAGAGGCGTTGGATCTTAATAAACTATTCCTCTGCTGGAACGGCATTGCCTTGGAAGCTGAGAAATCCTCAGTTTTGGCCAGTTTGGAGCTTCTCCAGTCATCTTCATTACTACAAGATCTCTCCTGCTTTAGAAACCCTGATCCGTACCACTTCTCCTTTGTCTCAGGATCGGAAGCAAGAGAAGCTAAACCAGAAGTTGTAGTAGCAGAAGTGTCCGAACCCACCACCCCATCCAAACCCACCACCCCAAAATCCATATAGTGGAAAAACACCCACAAACCCACTCTAGACAAGCTCTAGATTGAAGAAATGAAGCATTGCTTCAGAGGTGAAAAAGGACAAGAGCTTGAAGCGGCGAGGAGATGGGCATTTTAAAGGGTGTGTTGGTTAATGGGGGATTTCGTTTAGGCTAAGTAAAAAGATTAAAATCAGATTGGTTTTCTTAGGAGTTGATGTTTAAAGACATATTTTTAAGCACCTGCCCTTGAGGTCTACTGACAAAAGTCAGCCGGTGCATTTCTCATTCTCGGGCGGGTTTGAAACCCGTCCATGTAAAATATGTTTAAAAAAAAAAAAAGACATATATTTTTAAATATTAAAATCAATTATTAAAAAAAATATAAATTAAAGCTCTGTTTTATTATAATTATAATTTTGAGTTTTTAATTTTAATTTTTACAAATTTTAAAAATTTTAGACAAAATTAAATTTTTTTTATAAATTAATTAAATTTTAAATATTTTAAAATTAAATTTTGAATATTTTAAAATTTTGTATTTAATAAATTAATAATTTTAATTTTTAACTTTTAATATTAATTATTTAAATTTAAAAATTAAAAATTAAAAATAAAAACTATAATAATTATTATTATTTTTTTATTTCCCGCCTGATATCGAAGGCTTTACCTCGATTAATCCAGACCCGACCCGCGTCGCGCACCTAAAAATGGTGGGTGAGTCTCCCAACGAGGACTGCTGCGTACATAAAGACTCGAACTCAATATTTTGTTTAAACTGAAACAAGTTGTTTACCACTTGATATTATATAAAGCAAAACCTAATAATATTACAATTAAAATTAATAACTTTCCACAAAATATCCGGTGCAATAACTTCAGCCCCATTGAGTTGTCCTTTCAAAACAATTGTTATAGAATATCTGACGGTGTAGGTGATGATGATCCCATTCATAAATTATAGATATATATCAAATCAACATGTAAAACTTCAGCTTTACCATATTAAAGTTCGCCGAACACAACATGGGTGAAAGCAAATCCATTCAATATTTGATCATATACAAACCAGCCATATACATGTATACAACAATAAATATAAATAATAAAACCAACCATTTAATATGGATGGTTGGTTTTATAATTAATCAACCATTCAGTATGCAATGACAGAATATTTAGGAGAGAAGTGATTTATTTTATATATTATATTTATATAAAATTTTGATTTTTTATTTTTTATTTTTAATAATTAAAA